TTAAGGTCGCTTCCAACCCAAGCCACTCTGATTCTGTGATTCCATCCATGATGAAAGCTGCAGCTGAGCAGGGAGCATGGTCTGTAATTGATAATCTGAGCAGCAGTTTAGGAAAACCAACAATTATGGCATACTTCATAGAACTTAATCAGCCACCAGCTCTTCTGCCCTGAACCCAGCTAGTAGCCGTCAGAAATTCTCTGGGCAGACAATACCAGGACTCATACTTACACATCTGTTAGAAACTTACATCAGTTTAAAGGAGTCATTCTTCTCAGCAGCTTTAGCTAAGTGCACATTATTTACTCGGTATGTGTTGAGATCTGCAAGTACCTGTCGTGCCCGGTAGTAGACACTTCACATTGTAATCTGTGCTGGCTGGCGGGAGAACAGATGCTGTGGAATGACATGGCACAGACAAAGTCAGCCACTGAAGACTGCTGGTTACACTGAGGGCTGGAAAGTAGGTGAATAATTTAATGACTTCAGCTAGCAGGTTGGAAAGCCCATTCGTTTCATCTCTGCTGAGAAAAATAAGATGAAGTACATACAGCTTTTTTGTTGATTTTTGCTTTTAATAATGATTTTATTGTGTACTGAGGCAACAGGGATATCCAGTAACTTCCCCTTTATGCCTTTCCAGCCAAAGGGATGCCTGGAAAGGATGGCTGCTATTGATATTTTTGCAGGTCCAGAATTATCTACCCAGGGTTATTGGCTTGTGATGTTTTCAGCCAGCTCTTGTGCCAAATGTATCCATGTATGATAAACTTCTTAAAAACTGCCCATAAAGGGACAAGGACGCTAAGGCCCACAGCTCCTGCCAGTTAACTGCAGGAAATACCCAGAGGCCGTACCTTTGGATTCCAGAACTGAACCATGCAAATGATTTCCAATACAGTCAACTTTATTTCAACACAGCAAACTAAATTATGTACATTATTGGAGTATCACAGCAGGAGAAAAGAAGTCTGTGCTCAATTGGCGTGTAGCCATATGAGCAAAAGGATAAGGAGCTCTCAGTTATATTGTTAATTACCTCTTGATGAGCAGGGAATTAAAGAAACTCTCACTTGAAGCTATAGCTAATGTTATAAAAGACAATAATGTTGAAATGGGAAACTGTATTAAATAATAGGTGCTTATGAAAAAAGGTGCTTTTGAGATTTTAATCTTTTTATCACTGCCATTTTCTTTACTGTATGCTGTAATAATTTCGAACAATTTGAATTGCTTGTATGTGTGGCTCAAAAGGCAGCAGCAAGAAGAGGCTGAAAAATTTTGGACAGACCCTGTTCTCAACTTCATGAATGTGTTTGTTAATTTTTCTGAACTGAGGGGAGCATAGTTAGGTGGAAGGAATGCACTGTACATCTAGATCCTAGCATGTTGCTGTTTGCTAAATGTGATATGATCCGTTAGAATTTCGCAGGAGCAGTGCCAGTGTACTGGAGACAGTGGAGCAATATTGCCCTCTCACATCAGAGGGAAGCTGCAGAACATGCAGTGGCCTGCAACAGACTGGCCAGTCTGCAGGAATAACTTTCTTCAGGTTTGAAATTGTCATCCTGCCAGCAGCTAAACCTCTGTGGCTGCAGACTTGGACCCTGCAAGATGGAGGGAGATCAGGGCACAGATGCTGTGTTGGCTTTCCTTCTCCGCACGTATGGGAACGCTTGATGTACCACCTGGGGCCTTCTGCTGTCGATGGGGGTCATTCTGCGGCCTTGTAGGACACGGGTGCTGTGCTGTAAACCTGCTGCAGCTTGCCCACCTACCTGATGTTATGCAGGAAAGTGAATTTACAGAACCGTCCCCTAAAGTGACGCCGTTGTGCTTGATTCTTTCCTGACAGAAGGCTGTGAAGGCAGCATCCAAATACCATAGCGCATCTGATGATGAAGAAGGCCAGCAAAACTCTTCTGGGAGGGAAATGGGACAGCTCCACAGGTGAGCTATGAATCACCATTGTTTCACAGCTCAGTTAAAGCTGAAGGCATGTTTACTACCATCAATATTTATGCCTGTTCTTAAGAGCAGGTCATTTATGATGCTGCTGTTGGGGTGTCTGTTGCAGTGACTGCTGAAGCCCAATATTTTGGTTGCATTGGTTTTCATAGGTCACAAATAGCAATTACCCTTAAACTGAAAAGAAGTGTGATAGTAATACTCTTCTAATGGAAAAATGCCAATCTACGTTTTGCATAGTGGAAACAGTGCTCAAAGAAAACAGTTTAGGCTAAAGAAGGGTATGTCACAGCCCAGCCAGCTTTATTACATCTGTGAAAGTAAAGAAAAAGCAATCAAAAAAGTGCCATTGAGAATGTGTTTGTTGTCACTGAAATGCTCCATTCGCAGATACAGCTCAAAGCTGGCTGTCTTGCTTTTTGTAAGAGCTGTGGTGCAGCTATTTCATTATGTTTTAAATGAAAAAGTGCGTGTGGTGTGACTGCAGAGGCACAAGGGGAACAGGCATGTCGGAGCCCTCTCTGAGGAGGTTTGCCACACGTGGTTTCCTGTTCACTGTTTTTTTTCTTATTGTTGAAAGAAGAGAAAGGGGGATTGAAATATAGTTTAAATATTGAAAAGTTCCTGATTTGTTTTCTGTATTAAATACAACTCAGCAGACTGGGCCGTCGAAGAAAAACGGTGAAGCTGTGCCGAGCGCTCTCTGACCTAGTGGTGTACACGAACTCTGTGGCAGCCCAGGATATAGTAGATGATGGTAAGGCCACTGGCACAAAACTTACACAAGCTTGTTCACTTTCATGTTTGGATATGAAATGTGTCTGTGTTCGCAACATTTCCCTTGTTTCTCAAAGCTATTTTAAAAGCAGAGTACTTACCTGCTCCTTTTACTTCACTATGGAGAAAGAGTTAAAGCACCACCTTTTCCTTCACTGGGAAATATCCTTTCCCTCGGTTTCTTATGATAGAATCACAGAATGGTTTGGGTTGAAGGGACCTTAAAGCCCCCCCAGTCTCACCCCCTGCCATGGGCAGGGACACCTTCCACCAGACCAGGTTGCTCCAAGCCTCATCCAGCCTGGCCTTGGACAGGGATGGGACATTCATATGAATTTGAAAAGATTGTTTGGATGGTTTAGGGAAAGGATGAGTTTGCGGGAACTTGTGTGTGAGAGAGAAATGGTTGAGTGCTGCTGTAAATGTGTTAAAAGGACAAGGGCAAAGCCAGAGCTCTACTGGGCACATCTTTCCTGGGCTGTAAGCTCTTTGGTCAGATTGTTGGGATCATGTTGCCATTAGTAGATTTCTCCATAGATTCTTCATAGTCATGCGTGGGGTTTTGCAGGAGAAAAGGCCCAGCAATTAGCTTGAGCTCTTGCTTGGCTTTCCTTTTATAGTTTGGAAACTTGAGGGTAGAACAAAAGACCCTTCTGGAAGGGGAAACTGGTGCCCTTCAGTTACGCTATGTGCATGATTTGCACATGACAAGGCAATCTGTTGTTGTAACTTTGGACTAAATCTCATGCTCCCCTCGATTAATACCAGTGTAACAGGTCTGAGTTCAGGCCCCGTCTCCTGGGATTGCTTTATAACTCATTCCTTGATTTAACGACACACGCAGGATCAACAGGGAACGTGCTATCGTTCAGTGAGACAAGAGCCCACCAAGCAGTGCAGCAGAAGGCCGAACAGTTTATGCTCTACAACCAGAAACAGCTTACGAGAGTCTATCCATCAGCCTATCGGATTGACTCCAGCAATTTCAATCCTTTACCTTACTGGAACGTTGGTTGCCAGTTAGGTAGGTGTTGCATGAAAAACTTATTTCCCAGTTCTTGTGTTTCTGCTAAGTAAATATCATCTCTATCAATGACACCCGAGTTTTCTCTTTCAACAGTGGCACTAAACTACCAGTCTGAGGGACGCGTGATGCAATTAAACGAAGCAAAATTTAGAGTAAATGGCAACTGTGGTTATGTCCTCAAACCTCAGCAGATGTGCAAAGGTAATGCCCCTCTATAGATTTATGACTGTAAGCATCAAGCCTTTCGGAAAGTGTCTTTGTGATGAAGTTGTGAAGACAAAAGAAAGGAAGCTAAGAGCCTGTCTCTTTCACACTTCCATACATTTGTAACTCTTATTGTAAGTGCTAGTATGCAATCTCTTGCTGTTATTATAGTTATATTTTGAGGGTTTCTTCTTATTAATATGTGCTCCAAAAAAGTGGAAGGGGTCCTAGGGTGGCCAACTGCAATGAAAGTAGAATAAGACACGCGGTGGTCCAGGACCCAAGTACCCAGGACTTTCAGGCATGTCACTGGAATTATTTGGTTCCCTTTACAAGGATTTGGCTCAGTCCTCAAAACACTTAAAAGAGGAGCTGTGGTTTTCAGTGTTATGTGATGATAATCTTTCCATATTTTGAAGATTTGGGATCTGATCGTGCCCCTGTATCTCTAAGTAACTTTCTCAACGTGGCCATAAGGAGCAGTGGCATCGTTTGAAAGGTGCTTGAGGGATGCCAGAGGAATTTACGGTACTTGAAGCAGGTGCTGCTGCAGGAATAGCTGGTTTCTTGCACAGCTGCCCAGATGTTAACGAGAACAATATCAGAGTGCTGATCTGGGTTATAACTGCTGGGTTTTTGAAGCTACTGCTTCCAGAAGAAAGCTTTTTCAACAGAGTCTTGCAAAACCCTACTGTTAGAGGGGTCCCTTCTGTCTTGTAATCATATAAACAAGGGCTGCTCAGCTCAGAAAAGGTAGTGAGAAAGTGGACTGGAGTTTTATGAGTGAATCATGGCTACATGTACACGTCTTGGGGGCGGCGATACTTGTGCTGTATATTGTTTTCCTTATGCTTCTCATTCGTTGCCATCTTTTAGGCACATTCAACCCCTACTCTGCTGATCCACTTCCTGCCAGTCCTAAAAAGCAGCTTATTCTGAAAATCATCAGTGGACAGCAGCTACCTAAGCCTCCTGACTCAATGTTAGGAGACAGAGGAGAGGTAAGATGCTCTGATACCAACAAATGCTCCCATGAGGGGTCCTGGAGGGACACGGCAGCATGTGACTCAAACTTTCTCCTTATTTAAATACACCAATAAATTTCAGAAATTATCAAGCTTTCAGTAGCTAAAAACTACATTTTCCCACAGAGTCTGTATCCTACACCTGAAGTTTAACAACTGATTTGGTTTGTATTTTGAGGGTGACCTCACTTTTCTGAAAATTAGCCGTAGCTGGCCATAGCTCTTGAGACTGCAATCCATACAGCAGCTTAAAGCCGTTGGCCATGATTGTGCTGCTTGAAAATTCACATGGATCAAAGGTTTTTGAAGCCCCATATGAATTTAAATTAACTCTCTGCATGAATTTTCTTAAAAATTGACCTTCACTTGTATCATTGGCTTGCTTTTCAAATACTTTGTTTTTCTTAAAAATAGATAATAGACCCCTTTGTTGAGGTGGAAGTTATTGGGCTGCCTGTTGACTGCTGTAAAGATCAAACGAGGGTGGTTGACGACAATGGTAAGACAACCTAGCTGATTTCCTCTTCTTGGAGTAAAATGTGAAGTAACTATAAACGATTCAGTATTTGTTATTACTTTCTAAACTGCAAAGCTTTTTAACGAACAAAATCAAATTATTGTATTTTAACAAATTAATTGTGCTTTCTACACAGAATTTCTGGTGTGGGAGGCAAAAAAGCTAGAGGTGAAGGACAAGAACTGTTCACCACAGTATCTTTCTCCGGGATTGTTCTTAAATCCCCTTCATACACAAGTTCCAAATGTTTTTTTTAAAAATGTGTATAAAATACACGTGGAACTTCAAATGCAATGGAAATAAATCGTGTCCTAGGCAGTTTCACCGCCACCTCAGCTTTCACGGGAAGAGGATGAATAAGAGTGAGAGAGCCTGTTGCAGCTCTCATAGGCAGTTGTTAAAAAAACTCAAGGAAAAAGGTAGTTCCTTTTTGGTTTGGTCAGTCTTTAGCCTCCCATAGTTCTGCAAAACAGCAACTTGCCTTGGTATCCCAGCCAGCTACACAACCAGCATTTGGTTTGTAAAAGCAGTCCAAGGGACAGATCTATCAATTTTAATTACTCACATAATGGGGATTGAGAGCGCCTAGATCTACTTGAGCAATGAGTGCTCATTTGGGTACTTGGTCTGCTTGTTTCTATGCCTCTTGCTTTGCATCATGAAGGTTGAGGCTAGCACTTGCTATGGACTTGTTTCCCAAAGTGTCTGTTCTGTTTGTTTCACAGGGTTTAATCCTGTTTGGGAGGAAACGCTCACTTTTACCATCCACATGCCTGAAATGGCTTTGGTGCGATTCCTTGTTTGGGACCACGACCCTATTGGGCGGGACTTTGTTGGACAGAGAACTCTGGCCTTCAGCAGTCTTGTGCCTGGTTAGTCCCACTCGTCCTTGATGTGAAAATCTAGGTGACGAGCGAACACCGCTGAACTTAAGATGAGGTTGTCAGCATAAGGTGTATGCTTATGACTCTGAGACTACACGTCTGAGCTTGGATAATTCTCCTGGTATCCTAGGGTGGTATATTCACCGTTACTCGAAGGAGTTTGGGAGCCTGTGCTTTTGGAAATTCCTACTGGTGTCTTATTTATAACTTGGAGACAGTTTGTAGTGGGAGGGCTTGGAAAACGTGTGAGAACACAAGAGGTTTTACTAAAGGCATGACGTGGCTTACGGTGTATATTTCACTTTTATAGGCAGTCGTTGCCAGTTGTGCATAAAATGCAAACTGTTGGTTATTTTTGTTTATCATTATGTTGTGCAATATTTTTGTTTTACTAGGTTATCGTCATGTGTATTTAGAAGGGCTGATAGAAGCATCCATATTTGTTCATATAACCATTAATGAGATCTATGGAAAGGTAGGTGTATCTGGAAATTTACATCCCCTATGACTTCTTTTGGTTTGCATTCTTATAAAAATGGATTTAAATACACCACAGAACCTCAAAGGATTTATGTGGTTTCGAAGTGATTCATGCAGCTTAGGTGCGTGGCATTTGGTACCTTGGATACGTAGTGCCTAGCGCTCCCTGGCACTGATCAGTAACAAAGCTTAAATTATCCAGCTCATACAGTGATGAAAAACCACAATGTCTGATTCTCTATTGCCCTCAACTTGCCATCTTCATTTATACTCGTATCTGTAGGCATCCACACACGCTGCTAAGCATCAACACTCTCGGGGAAGCAAAATGCAATTCCTTATCCACAATGTTTTCTCTGAAGAGCACTGGGCCAGGGCACCCATTCGCAGCACACCCAGTAAAACCCTCGGCTCTCTCCAGCTGAGATGCCCCAATAACCGTGCAGATAGGCTTCTGTCGGGGTGCTCGGGAAGCAGAGTGATGTAGCTCATGGTGCGTGGGATTGCTTGGACGCGATCAGCAAGGAAAGCATAACAAACTGTTACTCTAGTCTTAGCATGCATGTGCTTATGAATGTTCTTCCTGTTAGCACCTAATAATTACCACCTCTAGCTACAGTAAGTACACTTCTCCAGTGTGTTAACTAATTTTATTTTGAAAGTAAATGTTGAGAACTGTAACTGCACCAGAACATGGTATTTGACAAAGCTATTTTTAGCAGTTAATTTAGGCTTTAAATATTTTTGGTGCATACATTTTGCGTTTTCTGCAAGATTACTAATCTTAAAGCATTTGTAAAATGAAAGCAAAAGCGCAGTGCTTTCTCTCTGCATTTCTGCTTCAGCTGCCTTCATGAGCAGTTTACAAAAGGTCATTGTAAATAACTAACACAAAGAAATTAAGGCCATAGTCAATTGGATGCTAAAATAAAACAGCCCTTTGTAGTGATTAAAAAAAAAAAAAGAAAAACACACAAAACCCACAGACAAAGAAACGTCCACCTTTAGGAAGGGTATAGGTTGAAAAGAACAGTTAGCCCTTAGTCTCTCCTTTCTGAGTGGATGCAGAGAATGTCATGTCAAATATAAAACCACAGTTCTGCGAGCACCCAAGGAAAGTTCAGTGGAACAGAGATGGAAAACAACTTAGACAAGGCCTAGGGCCTGAGGTTTGGTGTAGCCCAGATCCTCAATTGACCCCACTGCCTTTGCCCTCACTGAGGGATCTACTGATGCCTCTGTAAGCCCCTTCGATGTTTGTCTCACTCTTGGCATCCCTGTCTCAGCGCAGGGACCGGTGTTTCAACGTAGTCAGCTGCTCTTGCCTCTGAAGTGTTTCTCCTGCCAGGGAGGTTGTGGAGGGAACAACACCGACCGTACCAGACCTGTGCATGTACCTGTACGCATAGAATCACAGGTTGGTTTGGGTTGGAAGGGACCTTGAAGCCCACGCAGCCCCCCTCTGCCATGGGCAGGGACACCTTCCACCAGACCAGGTTGCTCCAAGCCTCATCCAGCCTGGCCTTGGACAGTCCCAGGGATGGGGCATCCACAGTTTCTCTGGGCAACCTGTCCCAGTGCTCCCCACCCTCTCTGGAGAGGATTTTTTCCTTGCATCTGGGTACATGTGTGAAATCACATAGAGTTTTGGTGATGGTCTGTAGGGAGCCAGTTTGGCTGTAGCTCTGGCTTTGCATGCTCTTCAAAGAAGAAATATACTCCAGAAAAATAGGAAAAGGTGGCCTCATAGGGTAGGCAAAAGGACGAGGGGGGCAAGACCCATTGAGGTTTGATCTCTGAGTCATCTAATTGTAGCCTTAATGATGGGCTGTATTATCATTTCTAACTTATAAACGAAGGCTGAATGCACGTTTGCGTCCTTACAAGCGAGGATATCTGGTCAAGTTTGAGATGCTTACCTCAGACTAATAAACTTTTAAATAACTTGCTGTAAAGTGGTTGTATTTACAGATGATGTGCTATGACCTTGTTTGCTTATATCACAGTCTGAAAACATTAGCCAAATGTATTTGCATTTTTTTGCCTTTCAGTGGAGCCCTTTAATCCTCAATCCCAGTTACACAATATTGCACTTTCTAGGAGCCACAAAGGTAGACTTCATTAGCATGCACTTTGCACTTGCTGGGCACAGATTTTTTTCAAATGGTTCCTAATCGCATGATCTGCAACTACCAAACTTACATCATTCTTCATTCAGACTCTGCAGCATTTGAATATTGCTTTGATGAAGCCCATGCATAAAACTCCAAGTTAATGTGTAGCCTGTCATTGCAGTACACTTCTTACAGCCTTGTCATCTCTGATTAGGGGACTGGAGCAAACCGCTCAACCTAATGAGGAGAAGTACAGACATGCATGAATTCATGGAGACCTATGCTGATCGTTCCTTGGTCAGAGTAGATGTGACTTGCTTGGTGTGAATTTTTGCTTTGCTGCATTTTGAACTTTGTCTTCATCATTCATAAATACTCTGAAAGCAGCCCTTCGTTCTGCTTGTTATATAGTAGTCTGAACTCAAACCTCTCATTATTCTTTTCCTTTCAGAATAAGCAGCTGATAGGACTCAGGGGGTTGTTTAACAAGAACCCCAAGCACAGTTCTGCTGAAACCAGCGGGCCCTACGTACGGAAGCGATCTATTGGTGATCGAATTCTCCGGCGCACAGCCAGTGCACCAGCCAAAGGTAGAAAGAAAAGTAAGATGGGTTTTCTGGAAGCTAATGAAATGAAAGACAGTGCATCTGAACCAACAGACCTGAAGGACAAAGAAGGAGTTGTGAGGCGTACAAGCCGGAGTTTGCAAGCCCGTCCTGCTTCTATGCCCGTGGACAAATATCTTCTGGTAGGACTGCCATGTCCAGCAGATGAAACTGCCCAAGATGCCAAAGGAAAAGAAAATGCATCTGGTAAGATGCTTCCCAAGTTACTCTTGGTATAGTAAGTAGAAATAGTCTGTTGGAAGTCTCACTTCTGCAGTCTCTATGCAAATAGCTTTATTCAACTCAAACGAGCGTTACTGGGCAAAATGACATATGCTTGAGATTGTAGTGTTTCAACAGCTCCTTAAACTCATCGATAAGTGACACCCTGGAAAGCTGTCTGCTCTACAAACTTGGCAAATGAATTATGGTAGTTCCTGGAAGTGCCCTTAAAAGGACACTTACCAAACTTCTGTTTGTAATTTAAGAACCAACCTTCAGTTGCACATCATCGATTTCAGGTTTGCTACTGTCCATTTCCTTACAGAAACGGAGCTGCTGGCATGGTGGGGTTTCTCTCCTCGTTTTCAAGGGGGAAGAACAGCATGCTGTTTTGGAAATAGTGTGTGTAAAGATTAATGCAGACATTAAAATAGATCTGAAAGGGGTAAAACTAGCACAAATTTATCTAGCAGTCTTGATATTCTCCTCTTAGGTTATTTAATTTGATTAATTTATATCGAAAGCATGTGTTAGGATAAAATCTGGGTTGTATATTATTGATACACAATACAGTTTAATTCTTAAAATAGCTTTTATCTAAGTGTATTCAGTAGTAATAGTCCTGGTTTTGAAATCCAGTTATTCCCATGACAACAGCAAAGTTAGTGTGTTTGACCTGCCTAATATTTGACTTACTGGAACGTTTAAATAAGCCTAGGAAGCTTTGAATACCATGGCTGTAATTTCTTAGACCTGCTCTCTCCACCCTGAGCCTCTCCCTAGCCTGGGGTTTTTGGGGCTGTTTTTTGTTG